AAATTCTGGAATATTAGAGACAGGAGACATTTACTCATTAAACTGCTGGGATTATATCTTTTGGGTTTTGGTTATAGGCAAGCTGACTGGTTGCTCACAAAAATGACAGTATTACCTGAATGTGACTTTCATTTTTGCAGTTTAGTGTATCATCTTACATAGCTTTCTGCACTTAAACAGTGATGAAGAAATTTTCTTTATCAAATTTTAGCAAGTCTGGGATTATAGGCTAGAGTCATTCTTCAGACACACTTTCAAATCTTTGTCTCCAAGTATATATTAGTAATTAAAACTCTGTCCTCGTATAAGTTTATAATTTGAAGCTATAGAGTTCCATTTTTGTAAAATAAGTGGATCATGGTACATTACACAAGTCAGTTGCCTTATTTGTAAAAGGTAATTTTCCTAGTGGAAGTATGGTTGTGAGATTAATGGTGAATCAGTACCTGTCACATTGTTTGTATACTATGTATAGCAGTTACCTGCTTTGTTTCCTTTTTCTGGTTCTGTTCTGCCATAACTGGGGTTTTCTTCCCTTTGTCTAGATTATCTTTGAGATGTCCTGTGTGAAGTGCAGAGTCTAACTGAAACTGTCAATCTTGGCTGTGGCAGCTAGGTTGAGGAGAGAGCCTTATCTACTGGGGTATTGGGGTTTAATCACTATCGCGTCTGACTGGGAGAGAAGGAGTGTTGCAGCAAAGTGAGCTGATAGAATATTTGGGCACATACACTATTAAGATCCATAAAGAAACATTTTAAAGCTGCAAGACATGCCAGAGATCATCTGATCAGACCTCCATAGTTATAGTTTCAGAATAGAGACCCAGGCAAAATGCAGTATCTTGCCCACAATTATGTTGCTCAGAACTGGAAACCTGTCTTCAACTTTCAAAACCAAGTCTTTTCCTGTTCTACCAGCTGTTCCCAATCCTTTCACAACCTAAAACCCTCTTTATTATCATTTGATATCTCCATGGGTACCATATTTTGAAAGATTGTGTCTACTAAAGTATATTCATTAGTTTTTAAAAAAAATAAAAATCAGGTCTGTAGCTACAAGTCAGAACCTCTGGTCAAGGAATATGTGGTGAAGGATAATGCGTCATTGAGTTTTAGTTTCATCTAAAGGTGGATGTTATTGTTTGAGGGGAAAATACGTTGTGCTTTTTGACTATTGAAATTAGCTTAGAGACCTCCATTACTATCTTCATAAAACTTTTAAAAAACTTAGATTAGGAATTGCTGAACTGTGTCATGTTCTTGATGCATTGCTGTCTGCCCAAGTGTGCTAATAAATAGTGACTGTGGTAGGTTTTCAAGGGCAAAAGAAAACCCAGCCAGTCAACCTAGAATGATACATAAATATTTTCAGTGCATAGTCAATTGTACCAGTCCAGGACTAAAGATGTGTTCTGTGTAGTATACACAGAATTTTTTATTTTATTTTTATTTTTTTTATTTTTAAATATATCTTTATTGATTTCAGAGAGAGGAAAGGAGAGGGAGAGAGAGAGATAGAAACATCAATGATGAGAGAGTCATTGATCAAGCCCGCAACAGGGCATGTGCCCTGACCGGGAATCGAACCCTGATCACCTCGATCCTAGGTCAACGCTCAACCACTGAGCCACGCCCGGCCTGGCACACAGAATATTTTAAAAGAATAATTGTGGAATGAGAAAAATACCTTAACTTCAGAAGTAGAGTGTGTATGAAATGAAGAAAGTGATATTCAAAATTATAGACTAAAAAGGGCTTCTGAATAATACACATCTTTTTGGGGCAAAATGATTAAATTAAAAATTATTTGAATTACAGGCTAAAAACTGAAAGGTTATGTATTAATATATGGACTTGTATAGACCTGGCTAGAATCCACACACAAAAACCTTAAGTTTCTAGTTCTCTGATATACCATGTCTCTTAGGAATAGCTGAGTAATTTTCACATTTAAAGGGTAATTTGGAGTGATCCACTTTAAAATAAAGGAATATGCTCTGAAAGGTATGACATAAGAGACACTCCAAAGAAATAGAGAATCAGAATAGCCAAAATGGAAATAACATGAGGCCTAACACAGTACAGTTGGAAATGTTTGAAAGGCATGTATATGCCACGAATAGAAAGATGGTGTTTTCAAACATGAGCCCAAAGCATGTCACAAAGCAGCCATTCCATATTGGCTGATTTACAGTTGAGCTTCTGCTCATGTGGGCTGCTCTACTTTGTAGGCTCATCAGTGAGTTATCTGTGTTTATTAGAAGCCATTGTGTTTAGGTTGCTCTTTTATGTAGGTGTTTTGTATGTTTTTTTAAACAGTTACAGGAGAATGGCACATTAAAGGTGTTTAGTAATTGAGTTCTGAAACATACCTTATTTTATGGATTTGGATGTAGAGCGCACTTTTAAAAGTTCTTTTAATTATTTCATTTTCTGTGGGCACACATAAGGAATCATACCAGCCAGTGCCACACTGAGGACAGTTCTTAATGCCACATCAGCAAAAGCTAAAAACATGATTTTGAGAAAATCCAAAAAAAAACCCAATCAAAAAGAGATAACTGCTTGAGGGCTGATGTGGAAAGGCATGTCCTCTCCAGGGCAACCTAGAAGCACAGTTGGGTGCCCAAAGCATAGACTGCCCTGTAGAGGCGCTAAAGTCGTGGTCCAGTGGAAGAACTGGGCCTATCTGAGAGGCACATGCCTTTCATGAGCAGCTACAACTGAAGTCTGGACTGAGTAGTACTTTGCTGCTGATGGACAGAAGCTTGCCGCGTGTGTAGAATATCAGCTCCATGAAGTTAGGCCTTTTTGCCTGTTTTGTACACTGCTGTCCCATGTCTTCAAGAGTGCCTGGCACACAGTGGGCATGCAAAAGATGCTGTGATAAGGGAAAAGAAACAGTGGTTTCAGTTATAGAAGAACCCCAGTTATGCTAAGAAAGCTAAATTTGAAATTTGTTACTATGCTTAAATCCTGAAGCGGATAATGAGCCCAAAGGTATATTATATACCAGTGTCAAAGTCATGTTGGAGCTTCTTATTGCTCCCCTCTCCCTGCTTTTCAGAACAGTAGAAATATTTTCATTAATAGCATAACATCTGTTTTTTAATATTGACGTATTTATCTCAAGATGACCTCCATTCCAACTTGTAAAATCCTCAGGCCTGGTTTAGGGGTGCATCCAGGTTTTATGGGGCCTGGAGCCTATATAATTTTGGGTCTCTTTAAAAAAAAAAAAAAGAATACATATTCTAAATAGAAAATTAGGTAGAGTGTTCTGTGCAAATGAGCCTTGAAGCTTAAGCTCCATTATCTTCAGGTAATTTGCTTTTGGTTTTATTGCTCCATTCAGAAAACCAGACACCAACATTTTTTATAGAAACTTTGTCAGCCTGTGGAAGTCAGGAAAGTAAATGATTTGTACCAGTTGTTAAGTGACTGCATGTCAAACATGAGAAACTTCAAAACTACCCTATGAATGCTGCCACCCGTAATAGAAGTGATCAAAACGTAGTACATAGCCACAGAAATAATAATAGCAAAAAGAACTTAGCATTCATCGAGCCCCTGGAACCTCCTAACACTGTTGAGTGTTTTCATGGCTTATTTCGTTTGATCCTCAGAATAACCCTGTATGCAGCATAATTATCCCTGTATTACAGATGAAAAAACTGAGGTGTTAAAAAATGATTTCCACATACCACTAGTATATGGTAGAGACAGGATTACATTTGGAACAGTTAGATGTCAGAGCCCTTCCTCTTAAAAAGCCAAGAAAATATGTTGGTGAGGATGTTTTGTTAGCTAACAATTGATAAGTCTGGACCAAAGTGGCAGAAAGTAAGCTCTGATTCTTTGGACCTGGGAGGAGGTCCTTAAAGACATCAGGAATTCATTATTCAGTTACGGGAAAGCCCATGATGTCTTTGTCTCAGTGATAATGGTGATTTTGTTACTAGGGTAATTACAACAGGGGGCAGAAAACTCAGCAAAAAAGATTCCCATTCTTCCATTTTATTCCTTCATGTTGATAGTAATTCATGAGCAGTACAACCACTTCTCTGTTTTGGGCATCTTTTAAACAAACTGGTTTTGGCTCAATATGTATGCTAAATTAGACTGTGCCATGGAGATTAATAGTGAAAATGTACTCGGTTATCTTAATTTGAGCAAATTGATTACAACTCCAATTTTTAAAATTATTTTTATTAAACTTAACAATAGCTGATGGTTTTCTCTATCAGTGGGTTGTATATTAATGCTGAATATTATTCTGAACTTTAACATTAGTTTCCCCAATACAGTATTGTTATTCAGAAAAAGCTATATGTTTTTGTTAAAATGTTAAGATTATACTCCATTTAATATTATTTTAGCAAATAGTATTAAATTTTAAACTAGGATATCCTTTTTACCATCACACTTTCTCAAGCTACTTGTTTGTGTACAGCTTAAAATTTTTTTTGAATAATTGTTTTCCTGCCCCTTAGACCCCTGAACATTTTATACATTCAAATACAGGTGAAATATTCAATTTAGTTGTCTTCTCTAGTTGTTGTAGCTTGAAATATAGTATTATAGTTCTTAAATGACCTGCAGTGTATATTGTTAGGCTCTTAACATTCTTTTTTTAAAAATTTTTTAAAACTTAAATATGTTTCTTATTGACTTCAGAGAGAGAAAGGGAGAGAGAGAAACATCGGTGAGAGTCATTGGTTGGCTGCCTCCTGCACGCCTCCTGCTGGGAATTGAGCCCACAACCTGGGCATGTGCTCTGACCGGGAATTGAACAGTGACCTCCCAGTTCGTAGGTTGATGCTCAACCATTCTTGAGCAATGGATACTTTTACTGGATTTTCTTTTTTTAGGCAAAATTAAGTGTATGATAGAGAATCAAGGTCCTGTTTTCTTTATGTGTCTGGTAACAACTTGCCAAACTGCTTTACACTTTTTATTTGTATAAGCAAAGATTTTATTTATATAAGCATATTTTAATATGGAGGGTATATTCCATTACAGATTTTTAAAAAGTGTAGAGGGTTTTTCCCAAACTATAGGTGTAAGTATTGGGCTTCTGGGTGTCGTTAATGGCTTTAGAATTCCTCACGTGCCTCCTGTGAATGGCTGCATTTGTCCCCTTCCCTTCAGAAGGAAAGATGTGGAGCGGGCTCCTACCTCCTGGCCTAAGCGAAGACGATGCGTTCAGTTCTGAAGGTGAAGACACCCTAGAGAACTCTGGACTGAACCTACAGGAAGACAGAGAAGATGGGACCATCACAGAGACGGAGACCTCACATTCCCCTGTGGATGGACCAAAAACTGAAGCAGAGGCAAATGCAAATGCAAATGCATATGAACAGTGTCCTTCTGGAATCCCCATACATGTGTGGAATGTAGGTTTTCCCTGATGTGTTCCTATTAAAGCCTGTTTTACATGCTCATGTGTGTATGTTCTTAGGAGATAATAGGCAGGAAAGATTCACTCAATTCTTTTTTTACCCTGGGGGTCTGTGGTCAGTCCACTGGCCACTCAATTACTTGCTTTCATTTTTGTTCTCTTTTTCATAAAAAGAGAAACATTTGGTAGGATTAGCTGCTTTGCCTAGCACGGTACAGGAGGAATTTCTATCTTAATTTTATTTTTTTGTTATCTATGAGTCATTTAATTTTACTGTCAGATTATCAGATTGACTTTTAGAAATAAAGTAAGATGGAAACTCAGGTTGTGAAAGAGTCTTGGAGAATGGAGCATCTCAAGAAGTTAAATTTATATGTTTATAAATACTAGAATATAATTTTTTAATTACTAAGCAAGTTTGCTATTTTGTGAATATGCTTTGCTTCAAAATATATTTGCCTCTTTTTTTTTTTTAACTTTTCTATAGAAATTTCAAGACTTGCATAAAAAACACTCTGACCAGAAAATCTCAGCTTCAAGATTCAGAAGGAAAAAAAGAAAACGCTCCAGAAAAGGTATTTTGTTTTAATTCAGATTAATTAGTGCTAATGTTAAACTGTGAATAATTGAGCTCATTAGTTTTTAATAAATGTAATATTGAAATAACTAAATACTTCACTTTGTGAATTCTTTCCAGGTAAATTGAAGACTGAAGAAGAATCTCATAGGTAGGTGGAATTAAAAATATTTGTTCTAGACAGTATTTGTAGAATTTATACAAGTAGTTAAACTACTTACCTCTGAAACATAAGAACTAGTTGTAATATCCTAATAACCAATTAAAAACAATAAAAGTAAAAGTGAGTACATTTAATGCAAAATGTATTGTCTGTCTGCTTATAGTGAACAGTCCCCAAATGAAACCCATTGGAAGGAACTAACTCAATATTTTGGAGTCAATGACAGATTTGAACCCCCTGTTAAAAAGAAAAAAGTTGAGAAGGTAAGGTCTTTTTTATTGTGTCTTATATTACTCCATAGGAATTGCTTGTAATTATCCTTGCCTGAACTAGTTCTCATTAATTCATTAGGAGAAAATGTTAAAATGCCTACTATGTGCCAAACAAGGTGCTAGATAAACAAGTCAATATATAGTTATAAGTCATTAAAAACAAACAAACTGTTAAGAAGGTAATGAACAAGGTATTGTGAAGAAATTCAAATGGAGGCCCTTCTTGAGTTTATTGTGGTCAGAGACCTTTCTCAGAAGATGCCATTTCACTGAGATCTGAAGGATAGCAAGGAACCACCTAAATGAGGAATGCTAGTGCAGAGGTAATAACCTGGATAAAGATCCTAGGGAAGAAAGAGCCCTTCGTCATGGGTCGTTCGAGTAACTGTAAGAAGGTCAGCCTGGCTGGAATGCAGTGAGCCAGGAGGAAGTACAGCATTGCCCTAGTTGGGGCTGAGAGAGCATTCGGGACCCTGTTGTGGAGGGATTTGGGCGCTATTCAAAAGCAGTAAGCGAGTGATACTGTTTTAAGCTGGGTGGTGACATGGTATCCGCTTTGGAAAGATAGAAGACCAATTTGGAGATTTTTATAATCTTTCAAACGAGATTATGAAGCCCTAAGAAGCACAGAAAGGACAAATGAGAGACACTACAAAATAGTTAAACTAAGAGCACAGGATTGGAGGCATTGACGCTAACTAAGGAGTTTATTGGGGGAACTTATTAGGGAGTCAGCTCTAAAGGAGAAGCAGGGTGGGAGTGAGGAGCTTGTTTTTGGGCATCATAAATGTGGAAGACCCTGCCTTCAATCTGAAGATAACTAGCAAGTAGCTGGAGCTGTAGATCTTGATACAGGTGAGAGGCCAGATGTTTTAAATTACATAGAGATCCAAAGCAGCTTAAACAAACTGAAGCCCTAGGATTGAGTTACTGGGCCAATGAGAAGTAAGAAGAGGAGGGGCCACTTACAGAGTCTGCAGGACTGCCTAGTAAAGGTGCTCAAAGGAGACTGAAGATAGGCATTTGGGGAAACGGTTTGAAGAATGGGGATGTAGTCAGCAAAGGTGGTCGAGTAGCAGGACCACAGACGGTGTCCCCTGTGACTGTAGAAGGCTAGGGTTTGAGTTAGGTGACACGGGGCAACTGGTAGAGTGTTTTAGAAGAGGGAGAGGAAATACTAACGTAAGAAATTAGTTTGCAGAAAGGAGTTGAGTCATTCCACCTGGCCCCTGATTCAGAATGGGGAGGACAGGCTTGTTTGTAGGGTGAAAGATGGAAAGGGGGGAGAAAATGTAAAGGTCAGAGTTGTGGATAGCATGCAGGTAGATGGGATTATGATGAGCACAGGTGGTGCGGTTGGTCTTGCCAAGGGAGACGATTCTTTCCTGGAGGCAGTAAGGGATGAAGAACAATACGTGAAGATAACTCCTTTTAAGGTGGGCGAGAGGAAGAAAAGACATACAGATCCTTGGTTCTTCTCGTTCCTCCCTTACCCGTGCCTTGGACACCTGTGAAGTAGGGGTAGAGTTAGAATCTGAAAAAGGAGGAGGTAGGGTTGAGGGCATTTGGAAAAAATGGAAAAGAGGTGGAACAGCTTCTTAGAGGAATATGGGAATTTTCAAGGGAAGGATTGAGAGCCCACCCAGCTGAGTTTGAAAAATAGCTTTTAGTGAAGCCAGTGAATTGAGTTATTTGATTTTTTCTGACATTGCTGAGACACCTAGATGTCAAAGTAGCAGAAAGAAATGGTTGGGAAAGCCAAAACAAGATAAGGTGTTGAAGGAAATTGAAGGTATTGCTTAGGTCAGTAGTTCTCAAACTAGCGTTGCTACATAGCCTTTGCTAGCAAATGTTTGCTTGCCTTTCTTTCCTGCCTTTAAGTTTTAGATTTTGTTTCTTTCTAGTCGGGCCTTGAAAAGAGCATAGACCAGGCCGTGGAAGAGTGGAATATTGAGAAGGCCGAGGAACTCAGCAACCAGCTAGCTACCCGAGAGGTAAGTCAAACTGATGACACAGTTTCTCATTTCCAGATTTTCTAAAATGGATGTACGTTCCTTTTATGATCATAAGTAAGTTCATTATTCAGATATTTGATCCAAGATTTTCCTTCCTGTCTATTTTCTTCCCTCTTGTTCGGCCATTTATTGCAAAATAAAGTCTAAAACTTATGGTAGAAGTAATCCGTGATTGGTTTTGAACCCTAGATTTTACCTAGTTCAGAGAGCTCTTTGCCCTTTATGATGAAAAGGCCAGTTTTCTTTTTCTGTTTGCATCTTTAACTCAGTTTAACTCTCCCTGAGGGTCCTGTGTGTTGTAGTGTCACATCTCGCAGTGTTTTCCTAACCCTTGTTCCCCAAAATGCTTTCTTCATATTCTGCACTAAAGAATTTAGCCCTAAAGAATTTTCAATTTTTAAAATTTATATAAGTATAGTTTATAGTTTAAAACTAACAGATACTTTGAATATTCTTTTTCCAAGTACACAGGCTTCTGGAAGATTCTGACTTGCACCTTCTGGGGGAATATTCCTCTAATTAGGGATCACTCCTAGGTGTAGCTAGGCAAGGTCACACACAGAGTAGAGGGCTCATATTGGCGTACATTTCCTTGTTGCTATTGCTGTTTTGTAGGTGTTTTTGTCCTTTCTAGGACAAAGGCTCTACTGTAGCTTTTATTTTTAGCATATCTCCAGCTCCTTCATTGTATTCTTAAGCTGTAACTGCTCCACGGTGTTTGATTACATGGACAGCGTCGTCTGTCGTCTGTGTAAACTGTTGGCCATGTGTACTCTTCTTTCTTACTCACCTGCAGGTGAGCATTTTTTCTAACAGACTAGTGATGAAATTACTATTTTAATAAATTTTTCTGCGGAAATACTATTTCACCCTTATATCATCAGATGTCAAAAACCTACCATTAATGGCTGTTTGTTTTCTATTTTTGGCTTCTGGCCATAAGTAGCTTGTGAGGTTTATATTTTTATGTAGGGAAAAAACCGGAAGTTATCTTTTTTTCCTGAAGCTTAGATGATGCCCTGGGAGAAGACAGGGTCACCTGTGGCCGTGTGTCAGGCAGCAGTTGCATGTTAGCTCCACCTTGTCTGCCTCACCCGTGTTCCTTGTGAGCTTTTCTTTCTCTGCCCTTTGAAGCTGCTTGTGAGAATGTGCAGACGTGTGCCTTAGAGGCCTCAGAAATGTGGTTCCTTGGAGGATATTTGGTTTCTGGTTTTGTGTGTTGCTTTGTCATACTGCTACTTTAGAAGTGGGAATTGTATAATACAGACTAGGTGTTTTCCATTGTAAGGGTGGTTATTTTCTGTCATACTTGGTGACAAATGAGATTGCTATAGAAATACATGGGGTTTTCAGCATTTGCTAGGGTAGTAAACATTTTCTTAAGCGTTCTTTTAACTTCTATACAAATGTAATGCTCTGTCTACTGCACTAAATGAAGTTTATTCAGTGTGGGTCAGTGTTTAAAAGAGAAACAATAATTCGGGTCCTATTCTTGTCTCTCTGTAAGTGGAGAGACGTCTGGAAAATGTGTGCTGTTGCAGCACAGCCATTGGAAAGCTACCGATGCCGTGTTCATTAAGTGCCTGTGAAGAACAAAGCAGTCAAGATGGAATGCTGGAGCAGATAGTTTAGTTTGAGATTTAATTTTTCATACTTACCCCTTTGCCGTCAAACACCATGGAGATGAGGGATGGGATTTTGAGTAGGTAATGTGAGTTTGGGGCAGAAACCCTTTATAAATTAAATGTATACATGCATGGTAGGTGTCCTTTTGGAAATCAGGTATGTTGGTTTTTAATCAGTAGCGTTTTCTTTTCTCAAGAGGCAGCGACTGGGACCAGCTGATAAAGCCTTTGCTCAGAGGCACAGGTCCCAGAGTTCTTAAAGCCTTTTCTAACCACAATAAGTGAAACTAATTTCTGATGTTTAACATTTATAAGCCTGTGAAACCAATAGGGCAGAACCAGTATTGAGAGAAATGAAGCCAAAAGTAGAACCATGTTTGAGGATGGGCCTTGAAAACATTTCCTCAAAAACATACCAAAATAAGGCTGTCAGTGCCCTGTCATTGTGACACGACAAGTGCACATTTTTCCAGAATCACTTTCCCTGAAGTTAATGGTGACATTAAGGATATACATACTCTTAGCTTCTATATAAACAGGTTCACATATTTGAAGCCTAGATTGTGCTGTTATCTGTGATTTTGCCATGTAGTAATGCGATTACTTTGGGACTCCCTACTTCTTTGTTGTTAACAGTTTTGGAGGAGAGATGAAGTGAAAAATATACTTGGGTTTGTGTCATACTGATGAAACTGTTTAAAAAGTTGTTTTTAAAAATATGTTATTTATACACACACACACACACACACAGAAGTATCTGAGCATATTTGTGGCTCCTTAACCTCAGGCCTGAATTGGAAGTACATCCCATTCATTGATAGTGGTCCTTTGAAAGTGCCATCCTATGGTATTTTTTATAATTTGCAAAGTATTAATATTCACATCAGAGATATTTTAGTTATAATCTGCTGCCATCTTTGCTAAGGCCAAAAACCTTCAATTTGGAGTAATGCTATAAAATGTTTTATGAAGCTTTCTGCTCCAGTGTATGAGTGCAGGCCAAAGGCAATGACTTCCACCATTAGTGCTGTTGGGCATAGTATTGTTTTAGAACCTAATCAAGGTCTCACAAATATAAATGATAAAAAATATGCCATTTTAGTATTACTTTTTGGTAACTATAAAAATGTTACATTGGCAGTAGGAATTAAAGTAAAATTTTTAATTTTTATTAAATTTATTAAATAGACTACTTAAATGTTTGGATTCGAAAATATAGGTAAAATTAATAATGTTGAAATGATAATAGTTTGTTAATGTTTAAATAACAAAGCTAGGAATGGCCTTTTTAAAAAATAGTGTTTCAATTGATTGAGTTATAGTCCTTCCTAGCTAAACAAATTAAGTGTTGTCTAAATTCGGGCAGGTTATTATTTTGTAGCGTAAACTCTGTTTTCAGAGCAGTTTCCTAGAGAATCTGAAGGTGTTCTCATTGAAGAGGATATATATATGCTGAAGAGATAGACTCTGCATTTTGTATTAACATCTAAGAAGTGGTCCTTCGTCAGAAATGCTTTGGATGCCAGAGTGCTTACTCTGGCTTTCAAAATTTTTCTAACACAGTTTACTGCTAGGCTTTAGTTTCCCTGCGAGGATTCTGGCTACAGTTCACCCTTTTTATTTTGGTTATTAGTTTTATGTTGATATACATGCCATATTGTCTTGATGAAAATAAGAGCTTGAATTACCCCCCCCC